TAAAAATTTCTTGTAACAATTGTCTATCTCTGTAGGAGTTGAAGCATTGGAAGTAGAGATAGTATTTGTAATGTCTTTTACAGAGTCGCTCACCATTTTAAGCTTGGCTTGCACAGCTGTGGAGGATACCATAGTCTGTCCTGTACATTGGATCTGACCATCATATTCTTGGTCCTTCACTATGACCCTATTGTTAAATAAACTTACATACATAATCATACCAAATCGTAATCCTGTAACACATAATCTTGAAATTTGAAACCTGAAAATAGTATTAGAACCCAGGCACACTTGAACAATAGAAGAGACCAGTCTATAGCAAATAGTAAAAACCTAGTAAAAGCAGCCAGTATTAGTATAATACTCAAGATTCCAGTTCAAGGTTTAGAAGAAGACTTACTACCAGACACATGACTGCCACAGTATCAAGAAACATTCTACTCTTGGACCAAATCAATCCACACCTCAATTATAGCCTACCCATTAGGATGTATAGAGAAATTTTAGCAATATTACTTGAACATTTGTGCTATCTTGACTTTTGTAGTTACCCTATTAAAATAATTTTCTAGTAGTACAACTGGATTTAACTGTTACAATTTGGTGGTGACTGTAAGATTGAACCAACTGAATCAACACCTATCTATAAAATATATACTAAACCCTCACTTATTAATTAATCAAAATGTCTAAAAATACACATCAAAACCAAAAGAATAAGACTAGATCTGTTCCTATTTTAGAAAAACCAGCCAGCACCCCTAGTGACTTACCTAAAGCTTCTCAATACTTACTTAATTTTGACAATCAGAGTTCCACTAGCATCCATCATTCCCAAACTCATCAAGCATCCAGGATATCTTGAAAGATATCGCTAAAGCTTTTTAGAATGCTGCAACAAAAGTGGCTCATGAGGACAATGCTAAAATAACTATCGGAGTTGTGAAACCAACTGGGTCCAAGTAAAAACATTCTATGGTATTAAAGAGAAAGACCAAGTAGAATAGGTAGAGGCATTCGAACAGGCTGCTAATGCTAACAACTGACAAAACAAGAAGAATCGCTATCATGTCTGGTTATGTCTCTGGAATTGCAACAAATTGGTATACTGATCATAAAGATACCATCTGATTTTGGAATAATGATAACCAAGCTAATGCCAGCTTTGCCTTTGAGTTCACTAAGTATTTTGCCATGCCAGAAAGGCAACATAAATGGCAAATGGGCCTTAACTCTTTGGCATAGCAAGAAAAAAAAAAGGTTGACTTATATGCTTATAAGTTTAAGAAACTACTAAAAAGAGTGAACCCAAGAAATAATTTACTATCCACCTATATTATTAGAATGTTTATCAGCAGCCTCAAAGGCAATATTACTGCATTTATGTCAATTTCTGAGCCAGGAACCCTCAACATCACTATTAAAAATACTAGAAAAGTAGAGTCAGGTGAATACTATAAGGCCAGAAAAGGGAAAGAACTCACGAATCAGTTAATCGATGTCTTAACTTATAAAATGCAACAAATAGCTGCAAATTATGAAAAATTAACTACCACATTGGCAGCCAGAGTTGAGGTTAACTCCCAACCAGCCCAAAATCAACTATCTCCACCTCAACAGCCTCCAAATAGCAACATTAAATGTTATAACTGTGGCAAATGAGGACATATAGAAAGAAATTGTTTGTTGGAACAACACCAAAACACCAGAAGACCTACAGGTGTACATAGGGGCAAGGTGCAACAAAGAAATATTAATTTGTGTGACTTATATGCCTCCGAAATAGAAGAAAAACTCTATGCTGTTAAGCGATAGTCTGAATCAGACACAAACTGGGATAAGCAGCTAAGGAAAAAGATCATTCACGAACCAAATCAAACGTCTCAGCAAACCAAACCTACTGCAATAGAGGAAATTATCCAAGAACAACATTAGACCCCAGTCTTACCTCAACTTTCGATGACTAACTAACTGAGACAAAGGTGAGGCCTCTCTGTGGTCGACTTAGCCTCATAATATAATATAGCTGATAATTTATTGCACCAGCAAGCTAATGCAACCTATACTCAAATGTTGCAAATCTCTAAACAAAGGTGTAACCTCGCTAAAGCATTAAGATGACCTCTAGTACCACTGGTAGAAGACACTCATGTTGCTGACAACCAGTCTAACCATAGAACTATAGTGGCAAAATGTTATGTTAGGGTTCAAAATAATCCAGTATTGCAATATTAGACGCTGGAACTGCCATCAGCATAATATCAATAAAATTGGTTAATAAGTTAGGCCTAGTTGTTAAGGAACCATCCAATACATTAGTAATTACCACCAATGGTACCAGAGAAAGGGCATTAGGTAAGCTGCCAGAACTAAAGATATGTGTAGGGAAAATAATAATGCCTACCAATTTTCAGGTCATAGAAAACCAGGATGAAATAATGTTATTAGGCATGGACTGGTTCCAAAAGGTTCATACCCATCTTCATTTCAATGAAAAAAATTGTTTCTTAGATACATGGGTAAGAGCATTAAAGTATCCATATATCAAGTCAGAGAAGACCAACCAGAGTTGCCTCCTAACCTTCCCAAAATAGATAAGGACAATGGTAACTTCTTCGATAAGTATAAAGATGAGAAAATGGAAGAAGTAGAGAGTTACCATACTGATGAAGCCATGATTGATAAGGAAGACTTATTTACTAACTTATGGAGAAACGAGTACAGTTCCACCATTTATTTAACCATCATTAAGGAGTTTCTAACCACTAAAGGACCAGACAAACCTGAGCCAACACCTGAAGAAACTATCCAAGCATTAGTACAAACTAACATTTTAAATAGAAAACAAAAAGAAGAAGCCCTACTTATCTTAAAATGCCACAGCAAATTATTCTCTACTGGGTTAGATAAATTAGGTTATAAAGCAGAAGTTCAACATAAAATAAACATAGAGAATGCAAAATGAATTAAGCAAGCACCTTATTGAATAGCCTCTGATGAACAAAAATTTTTGAGTAAGGAAATAAAAAAATTGTTAAACAATGGGTTAATCTACGAAACAAAGAGCCCTTGAACCTCTCCAGTCATGATAGTTCTAAAGAAAAATAGAAAATGAGATTATGTGTAAACTATCGAAAACTAAATGTGGTTATGAAAAAGGATGCTTACCCCCTACTCAGAGTCAATGATCTATTAGAATCATTCAGTAAGGCAAACTGGTTCTCTAGCTTTGATTTGGCTAGTGGATATTGGCAAATAAGAGTAGCTCCTGAGAACCAAGAAAAAATGGCATTTGTTACTAAACAAGGTGTATATGCCTTCAAGGTAATGCTGTTCGGGCTTTGTAATGCCCTAGCAACCTTCCAATGGACCATGAATCATATCTTAAACGAATTTTTAGATCAATTCCTCATGGTATATCCAGATGATATTATAATCTATTCACAGACCTACCAGGACCATTTGGGCCATATACAGAAGGTTCTTGCAAAAGTTAGGACTGCTGGGTTAAAATTTAACTCAGAAAAATGTAAACTGTTTGAAGCTAATATCCAATTTCTGGGACACTTGGTGGGAAGGAATGGTATAAGACCTGATCTGGAAAAAATAAACAAAGTCCAAGAATTCCTAACACCAATCAACATAAGACAGCTGAGAGGCTTTATTGGCTTGGCCTCCTATTATCGTCGTTTTATCAATCATTTTGCAACTACAGCAAAACCCTTGCATAAACTATTAGAAAAAATGTCAAATATGAATAAGGCACAGAACAAGAAGAGGCATTTTGAACATTAAAAAACAGATGGACTACAGCCCCTGTTTTGAGATACCCAGATTTTACCAAAACTTTTTATCTGCATATAAATGCTTCTGAAACCAGTCTTGGAACTGTATTAGTCTAATGAGGGGAGGATGGGAAGGAATATGCCATCACCTATGCTAGTAAGAGTCTAACTAGGGTGGAACAAAATTATGCAGCAACTGAATTAAAGTGTTATGCTGTAATTTGGGGTATAAAACACTTCTATTATTATTTGGGGCATAAACCATTCATAATTGTTACTGATCATGCTGTGTTAAAATGGCTATAGAACACAGTACCAAAAGGAAGGAGGGTGCATTGGATCCTGAGGCTACAGTCTTATAATTTTACTATCATATATCGAGCTTTGCAAAAGTACAATAATGCTGACTCATTATTCAGAATAGTAAAAGAATTTCTCATATCTTTATGAAACATGCCATATGAACAAGAATCTATCAAGAGTATTGATTCTATAAAAGAAGTGGAAGCCTTTTACATAATTGCTGCAGATTACCTACTAGAAGAAGTTGATGAAGAATTGATCCTAATAAACTGGCCCTCAGAGTTTAAAGATGATGTTGAACCTCAGCAGAATGAAAACGAAGCTTGGAACCACCTGCTAAATGACTGGTGGAACAAAGAGAACTTAAACAAGTACTTTGAACAAGAAAGACATCGCAAAGAGCTCATACAGCAGTTGAATGATGAGTTTTATAAAGAAACAACTTGGGCATATTGGAATGAATATTTTAGTAAGCCTGAAGTTAGTAGTAATAAATACAATGAAATGAACATTGCAGAGGAGTATAAGATCGACCAACCACAATGGGTGATAAGAGAGTAGATTTGGATAATAATGACAAAATCTGAAACCCTGGTTATGCTCACAATTTCCACTATGGTCACGATGAATAGAACATCAATATTGAAGAAGAGATGTTTTATGGTTTTACAATTGATCCCGAAAACTCAGAATGGCTACTGCTCTTAGACAATAATGCAGAAATGGATTGGGAATACTAAGTCAAAAAAAAAAATTAAGCTTAGACCTGACAATAGAGTATGGATAGTCAGGATATGATAAAGTGAGTGTGGGGCTCTATTCGAGCAACAAGACAAATAAAAAAATCCAATTTTGACCAGGAGCTTTTATTAACTAGACCTGGAATTGGAATTGAAAAAGATGACTAGCAGTTAGTGAAAGGTGTAGAGGTAAAAAGAGCATAAGAATAAGTTTTAAGAAGAAAACACAATACCTATTACGATCCAAACCCAACAATAAAGTAAATTCAGTTCAGGTCATCGGTATCCTGACAATATAAATACAAATAAAAAAAGAGAAATAAAAGAAGGACAAACAAGATGGATTCACAAGAATACATTACTCTAAAAAACTATGTCCAATATCGACAAGTCCCACCAGACTATGATAAAACCTAGCGATGCAGATTAGAACTCCAAAATAAGCACTTATTGTCAAAGAGAGTTTATTGTATAAGAAAGACAAGAATAATAAATTGTGAAAGGTCCTTCAGGAACACAAAAAGAACCAATATTGTTCCAACTCTATGATCATTCACTAGGTAGGCACTTGAGTAAAGAAGTCATTTTTAATAAGATAAGAAGCTACTACTATTGGCCACAGATGTATAAAGATATTCGTAAATACATCCAAACTTGTGTAAAATGTCAGCAACAAGGAGGTAAAAAATTGAGTAAACCTTTACATCCTATATCTGTAGAAGCTCCTTTTAATAGAATCAGTATAGATATTGTAGGCCTCTTATCTGAACACCTAAACTAAACAAATATATTATTGTTACGATTGACTATTTAACCAAATGGCCAGAGGCTAAGGCCCTACAGCATGACACAGCTGAAGAGGTAGCTGATTTTATCTATGAGGAAATTATATGCAGTCATGAATGCCCAAGTGTCATTCTTACAGATAGAGGATCACACTTTCGAAATATAATGGTCAATAATCTGTTGGCAAAGTTTCAGATCAAATGCCATTATTCAACACTGTATCACCTCCAGACAAATGGCTTAGTTGAATGATTTAATAAGTTGATCTGTGCATTACTTGCCAAATTGGTATATAATTCGAAAGAGTAAAACTTATATATACAACCTGTTCTATTCACATATAGAACAGCCAAACACAGCTCCACACGAATAACTTTATTTTTCCTCATATATGGGAGAGAAGCTAAACAGCCTATACATTCTGGTGCATCAGATGAATTTCTAGATAATACATTTATGCAAAAGATCTTTAATTTGGAACACGATCTACTTGAAGCTTGAAACCAAGTCATAAATCAAATTTGCAAAAGCTAGCAAAAGCAAAAAATTAAATATGATCAAAGAATAAAAGCCAGTGAAGATTTTTCAATAGAGGATAAAGTATGGGTCTATAACACAAGAATAATGGGAATGCAAAGCCATAAACTAGTCCCATAATGGAAAGGGCCATATTACATACATAACATTCTTAGAAATAGTGTTTATAAACTAAGAACATTAGAAGGAAAGGTGTTAGTAATCCCACTCTAAGAATTTATTAAAACTTTACTGTGATAGGGAAAGTATAAATAAACATGTATTGATAGAGTGAAAGCCCATTATCTTAATACCAAAAAAAAAAAAAATGTCTATAGATTTAAATCTCCTTATCAACGATCTATTATCTACTCAACTGGCAAATGTGACTCCAATTCTTCCACCTTATGCTGAAACTGACTCTGTTGAGATAAATATAGACCTAGTATATCAGGCCATATTGTGAACCACACGAATGGGAAACTATATTAGAGGGTTAACATACATATATTATTTAGATGTGCTTATCGACCAACTGACACCTGCATAGTGAACATTACAAAAATCAAAAATGACTAAGCATTATTATACCATGATCATCTGAGTATATAGTTTGTTCGAGTCAACTGGCATTGAACAGATTGGGCGCACTACTTATATGAACTTGTCAAAAATTATGACCTTAACACTCCATGACTATCAACAATTAATACAAGTTGCATTGATGACCAATTACCATTAAAGAAAACTGGGATGATGGCTACCTGGATGGGCTCCTCAATTTACAAAACTAAAAAAAAAAAAAAATTATGTGTTACTTTCTTTTTTTATATATATATATATATATTTTTTTTTTCTTTCCTTTTTCTTTTTCTGTCAGTTTGCCTTACTTTCTATATAATAAACTTGATTGCTAGAAAATTTTGCTTGTTTAACACAATATTATTCTCGTAAAACTTGAAAACAAGGCTGGAAGAATTGTGGGAGAGAAAATAGGCAATGATCGATGCCAAGATAGTTCGATTGAAATTGATTTGTATTTGCCAAATCTGCCAGATATAGCAGAAATGGCAGATATAGTGGAAGGAGCAGATTTAGTATATAAAATAGATAGAACAGATATATTAGAAAAATAGGTAGTAAAGAAATATATATAAAGGTGCAAAAGTTTATTTACAATAAAGGATAACTTCCCTTGAGTTCATAGCTACGAAATAATAGTAGTAGTTCCTTAAAAGTACCCTATAAGATATTGATGTTAGTAGTATTCATCTTATCATATTTGCCTTGTTCTCATGATTAATAAAAGACCTGTTATCAATAGTTCGTTAAAAATAAAAGAAAGATCTTATTAGTAATTGACCCTTTTTATATAAAAAAAAACTATTAAGTTGATTAAGTTTGTGATTAACTCTATTGTTAAATAAACTTATATATATAATCACACCAAATTGTGATCCCATGACACATGATTTTGAAATTTGAAACCCAAAAGTAGTATTAGAACCTAGGCACACTTGAATAATAGAAGAGACCAGTCTATAGCAAATAGTAAAGACCTAGTAAGAGCAGCCAGTATTAGTATAATACTCAAAATTCCAGTCCAAGGTTTAGAGAAAGACTTACTATTAAACACATGACTGTCACAGTATCAAGAAACATCCTACTCTCGGACAAGATCAATTCATGCCTCAATTGTAGCCTACCTGTTAGAGTGTATAGAGCAAATTCTAGCAGTATTACTTGAACATTTGTGCTATCTCGACTTTTGTAGTTACTTCAATAAAATAATTTTCTAGTAGTACAACCGGATTTAACTGTTACAACATACAGTATATATGTAACTGATAATGACAATTGCTTACTAATTTATCATTATACAGTTTTCTTATTGTTTTGTTTAAGGTTTGCAATGGAAAACACAATAGATCAAACCTTTATGAGTGAAATAAAAGTATGTACAAGGTGCAATTGCATCAAACTATCTTCTAATTTTATTGTAAAAAAAAAATAAAATCCAGGCTCATTGCAAATCCTGTTGTGATATACATCACAATTAAGAAAATGAAAAAGGCAAGAAATGAATAATCAAATAATTGAAAAGGAAAATACATTTGATTTTACAAATATAACAGAGCATATTTACAATATACTAAATCTGAATGAAGACTTTGAAGGTCAAATAAAATTTCAACTTAAATTTAATATTAATTTAGATTTTATTTATGAAGAAGTTCCAGCTAATGTCACTAAAAAAAATAGAATCTGTGTATTGTTAGTTTGATTATTAATGCTATTAGTAGTGGTGATGGGTATATATATGTATATCAATCAACATATAAGAGCAAAAAGCAAGAATTTGTATTACTTACATATTAGTGCAATGCCTGAAATAAATTATGCAGATTTCATAAGAAATTCAAAGATGCTTTAAAGCATCATAATACTGAAGCATATATCAAGTGTTATGATTATAAAGATGCAATTACAATTAAAATTTACTTTAAAAATAATACTATATCAATTAATATCTTTTATGAATTTTTGCACCTATGGTCTAAAAAATTCAATGTAATAAAAGAAATAAAGGATTTTATTGGTTCTTATATTTAACAAAGTGTATCAGATAACTATCAGTTAATAAAAGACCAATATATAAATGGATTTGAATTTTTAACAATTTAACAGGTATATTACTAGTAGTCAACAGTTGCATAAATAAAATATCAGTCCTCTGATAATAAGCTTATTTTTACAAAAATATATCTTTAAGAGCAACAGCAAAAAATTCTATTTTTAATAATTATGCTTTTGCTTTTATAATGATATTTTTTAATATGTTACCAGTAGGTAAATTAATGGAATTTATGGTTAATGTGACCTACAATACAAACAAACTTAAGTATAAGTTATATGGAACTATAATAATTATTGATGATGTTGGATTTTCTGTTTCTTACTTATTTGTATCAGTTAACAAAAATCATAATATTACAGATATTATTACTATATAGTTCATAATGCTAAAGAAAAAAGGATTGATAAATGTATATTTATTTTATATAGACAAAGATTTATCTTAAATTAATGTAGTGAAAGCTATTTGGAATAATATAAATATACAATTATGCTTGTAACATATCAAGCATACAATAAAACAAAATTATTATCATATACAAAAATACAAGTAATTAGATATAATTCTTTTGAGGCTTACAAGCAATGTTTTATAATTGATTCTTTGTAGAAACCATCTACACTTAATAAAATAAATCAAGCTAACAAGTCTAAAATAAAATTCAATTATTAACTTGTTGATAAAAAAACCTATACATATATAAAATACCTTATAATTAAGCATTTTAATCAGCATATGCTTATTTTTAAAAAGGATTAAACATTTACAAAAGATAAACATTAATATGGGTTGAATGTGTTACAAAAATGTATACTTACTGTTATTCTAATAATCTTATTATAGTATGGACATATCCTTGAAATGAGTAATATTTATTAAAACAATAGTGTTTATAGTTATAATTATTATTTAATGAAATTAGAATTTTACATACAATAATAGTAATTGAATTACATTGGTGATTTTTAAAAAGAAATTATTTTTAAAATTCAATTGTGCTCATTTAGATTTTTTATATTTTATTATTATAAATAAGGTATATATATGTATAGTCAAACCT